TGAGTCTTCACCTTCACTTGTATCCCCTGCTCCATCATTACCTACTATCTCACCTGACACTATGCCAACCTCTCCTACCCCTTCTCCTACCTCTGCTACTCCTGTTACTACCACTCCTGACCAACCTAGAAGATTAGGAAGTGTCACCAGACCTTCTATCTGGTTGACTGGTTATGTACATCCTCCATTACCCACTACTTCTTCTTCCTCTTCCTATCCCATTCAACAATTTGTTTCCTATTCTCACCTACCCTCACATTTTAGGTCATTCCTTGCTTCTTTTTCTTCTGATACTGAACCCCCCTCTTTCTCTCAAGCTAGTAAGGATGTTAGGTGGGTCAAAGCCATGCAATTGGAAATTGAGGCTCTTGAGCAAAACTACTCATGGGAAGTAGTGGATCTGCCTTCTGGTAAAATTCCCGTTGGGTGCAAATGGGTGTACAAAATTAAATATAATGCAGATGGTTCAGTAGAAAGGTTCAAAGCTAGACTAGTTGCTAAGGGATACACACAACAAGAAGGTCTGGATTTCTATGATACTTTCTCTCCTGTGGCCAAGCTTACTACAGTCAGGACTGTAGTTGTTGCTGCAGCCCTTAAGGGCTGGCTTATTTTTCAAATGGATGTGCATAATGCCTTCCTCAATGGTGATCTTGAGGAAGAGGTTGACATGTCACTACCACAAGGCTTTAGTAGCCAGAGGGAGCATAAAGTATATAGGTTACTAAAGTCCTTATGTGGTCTAAAACAGGCATCTAGGGAATGGAATTTGAAACTAACTCAAGCTCTCAAAGAATCTAGTTTTACTCAAAGCAAACATGATTATTCACTGTTTACCAAGACTGACAAATACAAGATTGTGCTTGTACTAGTATATGTAGATGATTTACTTGTAATAGGAAATGATTTAGAGGAGATTCAGAATGCAAAGGCTGCACTACACCAGAAATTCAAGCTAAAAGACTTGGGAGAGTTAAGATACTTCCTAGGAATAGAATTTGCAAGGTCTAAAGAGGGAATACTGATGTCACAAAGGAAATATACACTGGAAATGATCTCAGATGTGGGACTAGCAGGTTCAAAGCCTAAAGATACACCTATGGAGCAGAACATGAAGCTTAACAAGTACAGAATTTGATAAAAGTATAAATGCTGGCACCTCTGATGAAACATCGGAAGACGGGGGGAGTTTTTAAAGGCTGATTGGAAAACTTATGTACCTCACAATAAGTAGACCAGCCATTTCTTATGTAGTTCACTACCTAAGTCAATTCATGCATTCACCCAAGAGATTCCATTATGAGGCAGCTCTACATATTGTCAAATACATAAAGAGACAACTAGGTCTAGGAATCCTCATGTCAAGCAATGGGACACAACATATTGAAGCTTAGTGTGATTCTGATTGGGCATCTTGTCCCATGTCAAGGTAATTTGTGACTGCTACTATATTAAGCTAGGTGATTCATTGATCTCTTGGAAAGGAAAAAAACATAGCACTATCTCTAGAAGTTCTGGTGAAGCAGAGTATAGAAGCATGGCACACACAATGGCAGAGTTGGTTTGGCTTAATGTATTACCGAAAGAATTAAGAATGGATGTGAAGTTGCCAATGAAGTTGTTTTGTGATAACAAAGCTGCATTACAAATTGCAGAAAATCCTATGTATCATGAGAGAACAAAACACATCGAAATAGACTGTCACTTCATAAGAGAAAAAAATACAAGAGGGGCTGATTGAAACTTCTCACATACCAAGTCAACAACAACCAGCAGACATTTTGATAAAGCCTCTTGGCCATCAGCAACATGCTTTTCTATTGACCAAGTTGGGAATGAAAAATCTCAACTTGACGGGGAGTGTAGAGATATAAAGTCTAGTTGAGGATATTTGTACAGTATGCTATTTAACATGTACATTTCTAGAATAGTCTATTAGTTAGTAGTTATGTATATATCAGAAATATACTCCTGAGCAGTTACGTAAGAAAGAAAAGAAATATAATTTTTTCTCTCTCTTCAATCCTCTATGTTACTCTGTGTATTTCATCCCTTTTCACTATATCTTGCCTCCATGTTCATGACAGATCTAGCTTGATTTTGACACTATCTATAGCTACCACTAAGACCACCTTACTTCAACCAATCTTTAACAAATAATAATCTCTTGTTTTAGTGAATATATTGAAGACTTAGATTTTTTTCTCTTTTTGAAAATACTCAATTTTTTTTCTTTGCAACACCAATCTCACTTTTCAAGCACATTGCAACACTATTCTATATGTCATACAAGAGGAAGAAAGACTCTTATAGGACTTCTTCCATAGAGTAAATATGATGATAATTGGATAATAAAGTTGTAAGAACATTGTAACATTAGGGTGGTGGATAATTTAGTGGGTAAGTAGTGGGAGATATTATTGGTGATAATATGAAAAATATTATAACCACTTTCTAGATCATGAAATATTATATTAAAAAAATATTATGACCACTTTCTAGTCTTTATAGCCACTAAAAAAATTTGAAACGTCATATTGTAATATAAATATTTTTAGGATTCCCTTGGTTCAAAAAGAATGGCCCTATTTTTTTAAAAGACATTCCTATATTTTCTTAATAGGAAGTCTTTAGGCACAATAGTTAAAGACCCCCCAAACTTGACCATTTTTAATAAGCGTACATATTAATTATACGTGATTTTAGTTACCCCCTATGCTTAATTTTTCGGATGTTATTACCCCCTAACCTGCCACATGGTATTGAAAGTTATTTCAAATAATTGAGTGCACGTGGGCAGGGGCGGATCCACCCCTTTAGGAAGGGGTGGCATGGCATCCGCTAAGATGATAAATTTTTCATATACCTATGTTGAAATTCTCTTAAACTATGTAAAATATTTGATCTTGGCACCCGCAATCATAAACTAGACAAAGGTGTCATGACTGGTAGACCTTTTTGAAAACTTTTCTCGTGTGTAGAATTCAAGTTTGAATTCATTTTGAACCTCGTCTAACTTCCCCTTTTCTTTATGCTTTTTATTTCCTTTTGTCCAAGTCATTTTTCTTTTTGGCTGCCTCCTAATTTTCTAATGTCATTTTACTATTTTTCTTTTCTCCCTCCTATTATTTTATATGTGGTCTCTAGCAAGAACACTAAAAAAAGGGACTCCAAAACTTTAAAATTATATAAAATAAGCATTCCTCTTAATCTTAAATTTATGAGTTTTCTTCTTTCAAATCCGATAAACTTGGGTCTTACTCTTAATGGAAATTTTGGATTGAGATCAAATTTTTTTCCATCTTTTTTTTTGTTATATCATACAATTTGTGTTATTATATGATTATTAAATATAATTTAAATCTCTTTGGAGTATTAAATTTTGATGAAAATTTCGTAAGCATTGCTTACAAAAAAATGAGATTATGATTTTAATATTTGGGAACTTGTAGTTTATTTAACTTTATACTTATGGGGTATAATTTATCTATTGAAGATATTTTTTTAAAAAATTTCTTATTCTGATTGATGTAATTCCCTTATGGGAGATGCTATCTTACTTGTGTAAATTTCTATTTAATCTACAAAAAAGATGTAATTTCCCAGTGAAAATGTTGATTTTACTAGTGTTGTTATAATAAAGGTGTATTCCTTATTTAAAATGGCAATTACATTTATTTTTTATATATGAGATGTAATTTTTATATTTACAATTACAAGATACATATTAGATTGGCTCGAATAAACTCAAAAAAATAGAATAAACGTTCCTAACAAATTTAATATTAGTCATTAAAAGATATACATTTAAGAAAATTATGGCGCCCGTAACCTTTAAAACCTAGATCCGTCTCTGAGCGTGGACGATAATAAATTTATTTTTTTTCCAAAAATTAAAACCCCAATGGTAGCTACCACTATTCTTACCCCTATCTATTCTCTTCTTTCTAATTCTTAGCCTTTTTTTCTTCTCACTTTCTTCCTTTGTCATTACAATTCTATAAAAGCCATTTTTGGCTCTTATTTTTGCCCAAATAACAACCATTTTTTACTTGGAAGAAACAAGATGAATGTTTTTCGCAAATGTGGCAAGCCGACTCCTTTAAAAGTTGCAAGGACTATTGTAAATCCTGACCGACGATTCTTTGGATGTAGTCTTTATCCGGCAGCAAATTCTTGTCGATTTTTTCAGTGGTATGAACCTCCATTTCCGGAGCAAGCAAATATTGTTACCCTCACAACCCTAAACTATAATATATTCAAACCCTAGTTACAAATCAAAGGAAAAATTTGGCTATACATCATACTAACAGAAAGAGGCACACACACCCCTTCAAATGTGGAGCGAAGAGTAGAAATTTGGTGAGAAAATCAAAAAAACCCAGTAGCTTTGAGCTACTCCACAGTCGGCTCTAATTTACCCTATTGCAAGATGATCTAGAACTTAACAGCACCTCAACGGAGAACCCAATCTACTTCCAAAACCAAGCTCAAGCACTCACAATTGTCTATGGGAGTGAAGTGGTGAGAAACCCTAGATTTTCTCTATGTTATCGACCAAATGAAATTGGTGGCCGATTGGGGAGATGGGTTAAATTTGAGGGGTTAATTGTAAATGCGGGTCGGGTATTTTAAAAGGGTACCCGAATTATTTCCATCGTGCATAGCCACATCATCAAACATTTCAATGTATACTGCGCGTATATTCACGATACAAAGGTTTACTAGGTTAGGGGGTAATGACATCCGAAAATTAAACGTAAGGATAATTAAAATCACGTATAGTTAAGATGTACGCTCGTTAAAAAGGGTCAAGTTCGGGGTCTTTAATTATTATGACGAAGTTTTTATAGTTAATACAAATGATATAATTTATTTGAGATCACAAATTTTAAAAGTTTATAGCAATACAAATATTATGATATATTTAAGACTATTTCAAAAGTATTTTTTTCTCTGTGTATCAAGTCAAATGAGGATAAACAAATTGAACTGAAGGAGTATTGTAATGGTTATCTCCAACAACCAAGAGTTTTTTGTTAACCCATTTTTAACATAACCTTTAATGTCATAACTGGTTGAGCATAGAACTATAAAACCAAAAAGACTCCATCATCCCCTTCCCTTTTCCCTAACTTCTCTCTACACTTCGGTAGCTGTAATGAGAACGCATATCGACGAGGTAAAATCCCCTACTCTCTCTACGCCACTGCATGAACTTTTCAGAGGTTGAGGCATATTTGATTTATTGTTGTTGTGAATTTCGTCGTGTATTTTGGTTATTTTATTTTTTTTGGGTGGCAGAAATTAAAAGCGTTGAAGAAGAGGTATGAGGATATAATAATTGAAACAAGAAAGGAGGCTTCAACGAGGATTATGATGTGGGAACAAAAAGCTCTTTGGTATCAGCGCGAGCTTCAACTTGCAAAACAAGAGGCCCTTCACATGCAGCAGCTCAGGCTCCAACAGGTACAATTTTTTTTTTAATTTTATTTTATATTTTCTTGAAATGGGGTTTCGCGTTGTTTGAAGTTTCATTCAAATAAGGGAACTCTTTAGTTGTTGGGTGTAGAGTTCACAAGGGAAACCGAATTGCTGGGCAATCAAAAGGAGTAAGTGACTCCATCAAGGAGGAGCAATTTTGCAATGATGATAAATGATAACAGGGAGGGGAGAGAACACGGAGATTATAAAAGAGTGAAGAAGATACAGGTAGAAGGAAGAGATTAACGAAGGTAATGGTAAGATGGGCTTCTGTGAAGATTCGAAGCACTCAAGGGTGTGATCTAGTGTTCAATGGCGTGGGAAGATAACCGTAAGGTCTTAGGTTCAAATTCCAGCTGAGGCAAAATGACACTAGGTTTTCTTACCATCTGCCTAAGCTTTGGTGGGAAGAGTTACCGGTAACTGTACTGGTGGGAGGTAGAAGGTACCCAGTGGAGTAGTCGAGGTGCACACAAGCTGGTGCGGACACCACTGTCATTAAAAAGTGGGGGAGGGGAAAGAGAAAATAATATCAGAATTGAGTGGGAAAAAGATTCATGTGCTTCAGGAAATGGAGTATCCATTTAGTATCTTTTAGGGCTTTGAGGAGAAGTAATCAATTATTTTCTGAAATAGAAAAATGGTGGCCGGAGGCGAGTAGGGAAGAGGAGATTGGAAGATTAGCCATGCTAGAAACAAATAAATTTGAGGGAGTTTAAAACGTTGGAATGTTGTATCAACTGTGAACCTCGTGGGAAGTTCACGGGAGGGGGAGAGTGTGTGAACTACTAGTTATGGAAGCTAAAATAGGATCTATGGAATGAAAAGGCATTAAATGATTCTAGTAGAAGCGTCATCATAAAGGCAGAGTCGAGAGACCGTGAAGCAAGAATGGTATATTTGGTAGTTTTGAGGAATTTAGGTAGTTGGAAAGGAGGGAAAGTAGACTATAAGAAAGGATAAAAATCATGTACATCTGGTGCAAAATTTAATTTCACATTGTGTAGTTAGGGAAACATTTTCTTCTCAGCTGGTTAGGCGGTCCTTGAGCTTGTAATGTAATTTAATTTGTGAATTTACACCAACTTGATGTTCATTAATAGATTTCTTTTTTACTTATCAAAAAGGTTTCACCCCAAGATTATGCTTTGCCACATAGATAAAGCACTTTGTTAGCTTATGGTTGGAATATCCAGTTTTGCTCTCTTGAGTATAAAATTATGATATTTTCAGAGGTAAGTTTGTGCCTTAGCATACAGCAGGTTATATGTCATATTTAATTAAAACACACATAAGATGGAAGTGGTACTTACCTGATATCCAAGTAATATTTTTATTTTGAAACTTAATGTCTCTAATTGGACTCTCCTCTTTGACAGATTAGTGAAGCAGAATTGTCATCCTTGAGTCAACAGAGGAAGATTGAAGAACTCGAAGCTCAACTTCAGGAAGCAGAAGATATTGTATATGATATCAGAGTAGAGTTGAGAAAAGTTCAAGCTGAACTTGAGAGAGTGAGCTGCAACAAAGAGAAGGATGTACACAACTTGCAGGATCACGATACTGCTACTCCTGGAGAACTACCAGAGGAGAATATAGTCTCATTGCCTCCCGAATCACAGTATGGTTATGTGACAACTTCTAACTTGAAGGTAGCCAATATGAACCAGAATATTGAGGGCTACCAGTCTTGCCATGCAAAGGTTAACATTAGAAGTCCTTACATTGCTGGTGGGGATTTGTCCTCTTTAGGTTTGAGAAGCAAAGCACCAGAATTATACCAAAATGGATGTACGCAGAGACTTCCTGCTTCCGAAGGAAACCTATTAGATAGGGAAATCCGTCATGAAAATATGTCTCCCAAGCATATTCCAAATATCCCAACCGATTGTTGCTTGAGATCTCATTTAACTACAGCCAGAGACAATGTTCCTAGTGAAGATCCTTCTGAGACGGCCCAAATATTATCCACAGGAAAAGCTGAACCAGGCATGCCGATCGGATTCACAGAAACTTCAGATGATAAACCAGGGTCAGTTGAGGCAACTGGTGTTCATAATGCAATAGATGAGCATGCAGGATTAATGGGGAAGATGGATATTTCAGAACAAGATAATAGATCTGGGGAGGGCTTAGAGGTTCCTGCTTACAAAATAGATATTGATAGTGTTTGCAATCAGTTGTTCTATCTGAAAAAACTTTGCAATCAGTTGTTAAACTCAAAATCTACGGTATCTAATCTAAACAATGAGAATCCTAGTCAGCCTCTAAATGATAGAGTGATTAAATACACATTCCAAAGAAAGAGGAAGAGGGATTTGTGTAGGGTATCTGCTGAAAATGCTTCAATTGAGAAGAACTCGTTGAAGAAAACAAATGAGGGGAAACTAAATAATCTTCTGGAACCTCAGAAGTTGACAGTGACAGAATCATCAGAAGACAGTGGGAAAATTGCAGAGGTTGCTCAGCAGGTTAGTTATTTGATCGCTGTTGATGTTTCTGCCTATCTTTGTGTATACCTTTAAATGTTTATGACTGGTACACCTTCAATATGAGATATGCACTACAAGAAATTTTCCAACGTGCTTGGAGCGAAATGTTTAAGAATAGATGAGTTAGATCAGATAGAAGCCTAAATTCCTATAACTCAGTGCAAGTTACAAAAGGTATTCTCTCCTTCATTTTTTTGATGTCATGGTGCACCTGCTCATTCATTTAGCTAATGAAGTTAGGATTGCGGGGCCCATTCAATAGCGTTGGATGTATCCAATGGAGCAATGACACTGAAGTCTTTTATTGGTAATAGGGCTGGCCCAAAAGGTTCTACTGCCGAGGGATGTTTAGCAACTAAATTTATGACCTTATGTAAGGCTTTAGGGGCTAGCAAACAGTGGAAACTTGATTCTTATGAACTAGAGCAGGCACATTTTATGTTACTAGTTTCTGGGCCTGCGCTTTGCGCGTTAGCCATATCATTAGTACATTATTAAAAAACACATAAATATTACTCATACTCCATTAAATAATATTCCCTCCATCCCAATTTATGTGGAGGTGTTATACTCGATAAAGAGTTTATGAAAGAAATGAAGATATTTGAATCTTGTGGTCTAAAACAAACAATACATATTTGTGTGGCTGTAAATCAATTCATTAAGGGTAAAGTAGGAATTCTAAAGATAAATTATTTCTAAATAAGGAAAGGTAGCATTCTTTTTGGGACTGACTAACAAGGGAAAAGTACCACATAAACTTGGACGTAGGGAGTGTATTTAAGTTATAATATAAAATAAAAATAAATAAGATTAAGTTCTTGAAAATAACTCAATAATGGAAGAAATTTGAAACGGGAGAAAAGCAAGCTCAGGTTGATAAATGATGAGCTTATTGAAGTGACGTAATTGTTAAGAAGCATACATGAAGTTGATGTCGAATGAAAGTAATATTTGTTAGAAGTTGTACAATAATTCGATCAACATATATCTTCCTCGGAATGACTAGTAATCATTGTCAGTTTCGTGGTATATACCTGCAAAGAAGTAGTAGTTAATTATGATAGGGATATCTAATAGATACTGATATCAGATAATTTAATTGATAAATATAAATCATTATTTCACGTACATGTGCATATTTTCTAATTCAAAATTATGAGTCTTTCCATATATAAACTAGGAGAAAGAATATTAGTTGATTTGTACAAATAATGAAGGGACACCTAAAAATCTAGGTTGAGAAGACTTTTTGACTGAACTCTTAAAGAAGGATATAAGGAATGATCAAAACCTTTTACTGAATAAGACCTTATCTTGCAATAATTTGTGCAGTCATATAAAGTAAAAGGGACTAATTGAGAAAAAGAAGAAAAGATGAAATTTATGGCATCTTTATGATAAGGGCATCGCCAAACAGGTGACAGAAATAAAGAAAGGAAAAGGAGCTGCAGTCTCTAAGAGTTGTACTAATGACGGCAAACTTAGTTTATTTTTATGAAGTAAGATGTTATATAGCTGGCATCAAGAAGATGCAGAGAATTACAAAAGAAGATTGGAATAGCTGTTAATACAAAATCCTACAAAGTGCTGGGAGCTGATTCCAAAACCAAAAAAATTGATGGTAGGCCATAGTAAGAGAACTAATGAAATCTAAAAGGGGGAGAATATCATTTACAGGGCTTAAATTACTCCAACTGAAAAGATTCATTAGACATTTAGATTTCAGAGAACAGTTAGGAGTGGAAATGCCATAAAAACATCTGTGATTTCTCTATGTCCAAATACACCAAAATATGCATGTTGGGATCATCTTCTACATCTTCATGATGGATATATCAACTTTCCAGGAGTTCCAACTTTCCACGGCTTCCTTTATACTCTGAGGGAATGTCCAACTGATGCCACAAACTGATAGGAACATGAAACAGAGAATTTTGCTTCTTTTTCCATTATTTAAATAAGGATTAATGAAGCAATTTAGTACTTCCCAAATGATGATGCCTAGTACATGAGTATTGATTTCTAGATAGTTCCCCAACATGACTTTGCCTAGAATAACGCAGAAATCAAAAGGTCTAGAGGATAGACCCACATTCCTTGAAGTCCTGAAACAAAATAATAAAGGGAACAAAAATAAGCTTGTCTAGAGGAAAAGAAATAGACTTACATGTTTGTGTAGTCGGGCCTGAGCAAAACACACCAAAGAAAAGAGCAGTAGGCTTTTATGGGAAAAATAAAGCTTCTGACCGAGAGAAGAGGGAAAGGATAAAGTAATGAACTAATTAGACACTTTGTTGTCTACTTTTATAAAGTGCAGTAAGAATGTCAAAAGGCTGTGCAAATATATGGAAGCTGAAGGAACAACAATAAAAGCTCGAAATGTGAAAAGGTTGTAAAGAATGATTAAGAAAATTTACAACATCCTATAATAACTATTGGTAGATGAAACAATTCTTCACATCCAACTCAATGTAACAAAAAATAATCATTTCATGGAAGGTAATTTTTTTTTTTGAAGGACAAAAGGTTGATAAAGATATGGACATTGAGCGTAACTCAACCCCAAAAGCTAGCTCATACGGTGAGGATTGCTCAAGCCATATAAGGAGACCAAGTCCCCCATCCCTTAGCCGATGTGGGAGACTCAACCCCCCCTCCCTCGCACGCCCAGACCTACGAACTAGAGTGTGGACAATATAATATGGGGGCCTAACATTGGAGAAACAAAGAATTGAATTGGGTCCGATTCTGATACCATGATAAAGATCTGGACATTGGGCCTAACTCAACCTCAAAAGTTAGCTCATGAGGTGAGGGATGCCCAAGCTATATAAGGAGACCAAGTCCCCCATCCCTTAGTTGATATGGGAAAGTCAACAATTGTCACTCAGATTTTAAAGGATTTATTTGTAAATCAACTTTAGAGTTAGGGTGTTCCCACTTTTAGTATAGTACTAGTTTCTCGACACGTGTATGCCTGGTCATATAGTAGACGGTTTGTAAAATAAAATCGATACAACTAAAACAGAAGTTTTGAGTAAATAATTATATATGAAGAACAAAGTAAAAGTTTCTTTCTCATCAATAACGATTCTTCTAATATATCAAATATTTAGCTTGACTATTTTCTTGTTTTGGGATATTTCAACAATATTTTAATTGTGAATATGAGTAACATCAACTATGATGGCAAATATTTCATGTCTTAAAGTTTCTGCTATGTCTTTAGAAATTATAGCCTCCCAAATCCAGACTCTAAAAATCTCATTGGACAAGAACATAAGCTTATAATGAGAAAGAACCTACCTGCATAATGCATTGAATTTTTTAATTAGGTGAGAAGAATAATCCATAGCTTGCGTGGAGTGAAATCTTTTCAATTGTCACGCTTACAAAGGAAATATCAACAACTTACATCCTTCAAGTCTATCTTGGAAGAAGTGTAAAGTCAATAAAGGGAAACAATTTAGAAATTAATCTTCACTCATCACAATTCACATGCATAGCACTCTCCAAAACTGTTTACTCTACAGCTTCCTAAGAATATTTCCTATCTTGCAGCAACGATATATTCAACATATTCGTCTCCTCTACGACTTAATTGCTAACTCTTAAATCTCACTTAGACCACAGAAAAAGAAAAAAAAAGTAACTCTAACCTCATAGAAGAAATTCTGGTGGTGAGATCCCCAAGTGTGACATATGAATCTCTTCCACTTCGAAATATTTTCAATCTTTAATGCATGACGTGAAGAGCCCTGAACACAAGTTATCAACAAAATCATGTCATATAAATACTATATGGTTGAATATTGTATCATCTTGACTTCAGAAATTAAGATTCTAACTAAAAATCTAACGTCCATATACCAATGACTTTTATTTTCACTTGGATGCTTGAAAAAGGAATAAATATTACATGGCCAATGACACGAATAGCGGCATTGCCAAGTGCAAAGTCAATCTCAATTTTCAAGTTCAGGAGTTTTTTTTTTACTGATAAATAGATCTTGGACCTAACTTAACCCCAAAAGCTAGCTTATGAGGTGAGGATTGCCCAAACCATATAAGGAGACCAAGGACCTCAAATTCCTCCGATGTGGGACAACTCAATACCTACCCCCCTCACGCCCAGGCATGCACACTGGAGCATGGACAACATAAATGGGGGCCCAACATCGATAACAATAATTGGGATGGGCCTGGCTCTGATACCATGATAAATGGACCTTGGACCTAACTCAACCCCAAAAGCTAGCTTATGAGGTGAGGATTGCCCAAGACCATATAAGGAGACCAAGGACCTCAAATCCCTCCGATGTGGGACAATTGAACATCTACCAATGTGTTATGAGATCCAAAAATATCTATCTCAAATAGGTCTTCTTAGTAGCATTTAACATACACTTTTATATGCAATGAGTTATTATTATCAATTCAGCTAGTCAATATATAGAGTGGCTTACATTCAAGGATTAATCACTCTCGCATATATGTGCTGTCAAAACTTAATAACTGATCAATTAGTTAATACAGTTGAAATCATAGCATTGGCAGAAAATGAATAAGAAGAGCACAAGAATGGATATCACAAATAGGTAGACATTGTAGCATAAAAAATGAAGAGGTCAAAAGAAGCAATTTTCTTTTACAAACTATAAACTCTGAGGAAGACATCTTAGAGTTTCTTCCCCCGTTATCCCTTCAGATTTTTATCTTTAATCTTCAGTGTACCAGATGACTGCTTGAGAGTTTTCTCTAATATGTCAATATAATTAACTCCATGGTATTTCTCAGCTGTCATCTCCAATTCCAGTTGAAATTCTAAAGTCTAGTGTTATTATTTTCATAAATTCAAGGGTGTTTTCCTTAAGCACAGAGTACCAGACATAAAATTTGTCACTTTCCTTCTGCTTTCATGTAAAGAAAAAAAATCCTATTTTCTCCTCTACTAAGTAGTCAAATCTTTTAGGAAACTCAAGCAAAACACACGTCTCACTACAACAAAAAATTACAGAACAAAGAAATCAAAAGAATGACAGCAAAGCTTACTGAAAATATCGAGACCTTATCCTCATCTCAGTATCCGTTTCTTCACCAGTCTCTGCATCCTCACCATGCATTCCATCATAGAGTCCTCAACATCAGAAGCCAAAACGGATTGAAGTTACTTCTTGTCAGTGGGCCAAGTAAGTCCGCTGACAACTTGGCCCACTAACAAAAAGGTAGTGTCTATCCAACTACCATCATCAAATTACATAATTACAGTTTTTGATACATGATAAACCACATAACATAGTAAACAACATGAGGTATAACTTAATTTTGAAAAACAAAAACTTACCTCTCGTGGGCTGGTACATATCTTCTCATGAATGCTAGGATGAATTTATGCCACGATGTGGAACTTATCTCTTTCACTTCCTTAGATGCTATTGAATCTCTTGGTAGTGTCTTAACCAACAAATATTACTCTGAAGACATGCCGAGAAATTGGTACTGTGGTGGGCTGGTGTCAATGAACACAATGATGAAATTCAAAATCTCACACGACAGCGCACTCTTCAAACCTTCCATCTTGACCCCATAAAATGGCATCTCAATGTTCAACCATATTCCAGTCCCTGCAAACATATTTAGAGGCTTCTTAATCAGAATTAAAACAAACGATGACAGTACAAAAGTGGCAATAACCGATAATAGAAGAACAAAATAAGTGAATAAGTGAAGTGGTTTGAATGAGAAAATTTCCATTGGAGATATTACTCCAGTATGTGGAACTTTGTGAAGGAGCACATCGTTTCGTAACAATGAGTAAGAGTTGTTGGTAAGGATGGTAGCGTCTTTTTGTTTAGGGCTGTTTGCTAAGCGCATGTTTTTATTGGAGTATTTAATTTAAATAGGTCTATAATTAAAAATGATATTTTGATAATTTAACATTTGATTAAGCCTTCGCACTTTTAATATACTCCCTCCGTTTCAATTTATGTGAACCTATTTCCTTTTTGGTCGGTGCCAAAAAGAATGACCCCTTTCCTTATTTGGAAACAATTTACCTTTATGCAATGATTTATAGCACACAAAATATATGTGCCTCATTTTACACCACAAGTTCAAAAGTCTTCTCTCTTTTCTTAAACTCCGTGCCCAGTCAAATGAGTTCACATAAATTGAAACGGAGGGAGTAGTATAGATGATGAAGATTTGTGGTGAAATTCAACCATAGTAAGTAATGACTCGTTTTAATAAGTCACTTGTACCTTTCCTTATTTTTCATTTAAAATGACATGTTATACTTCAATTCTTCGTAGATAGTCTTCACAAAATTCTAGTTGATACCTCTCAGAAAAGTTCAGATGTGGAATAGAATAGACAATTCATTAGTTGGTTAAAAGTAAAGATGAGTACTAGTTAAGCATTTTTTTTCAAGTAAATAGTATCTGCTAAATTATGTACTTGATCTTGATAGATTTCAGGACTTTGTACAAACGTGATGATAGTAGCATATTTGGTGTCATTGTTGCATGGCCCTATGAATATGTGACAAGTTTCAATGGCTACATTATTAATAGATATAGTTTTCATGTTCAAGAATATGATAAAAGTTTGATAACTAAGAATTTTGGGGTGGTTGTAGTTGGTGAGACTGATGAAAAGAATAAAATATTGATTACCGTAAGACATGGCCTAAATTTGTTCATGGCTAATCTTGGAGCCAAAGTATTCAAAGTTGGAGCCAAAGAATAAAAGTATTTTCTTTTATTCTTTTTTCTTTACTTGGGGACCAAGAACTCTGCCCTATAAATATAGGTCATCTTACTTCATTTGAATCATCCCATATTTTGATTAGAAACTCATTTTGAGTATTCTTGTGATAGAGAGTTTTGTTATATTCCATAGAGTTAGTGTTGGGAAACACTTTGAGTGAACCTCTTCTTTGTGAGTGATTGTAGCGAGGTTATTCTCTTAGGATATATTTTGGGATAATTAGAGTTTCATCTCTAGTTTTGTACTCTCTTTTGTGTACCGGTTGTTATAGTGAAATTGCTCCTCTCTGCTTGTGGACGCAGTTCACCTTGACCGAACCACGTTAAATTTGTGTCTTCTTTATATGCTTTAATTGTCGTTATTATCAACTTGCATTGTTTTTGTTATTATCATTATAACATTGTTTGGTTAAATTCTGCACTACTCGGATTCTCGATCCTAACAAATTGGTATCAGAGCCGGATCTAACCGGGTTAGTTTCAATAGTCAAATATGACTCTTAACAAAGACTTATGTTGAGAAATTTAACTGAAATGCATACTTCGGAATGTGGCAATTAAAGATGGAACTATCCTAATTCAGGATGGCTTAAATTTGGCATTGCAAGGAAAGGAGAAGAAGCCGGATAAAATGACGGACGAGGAATTTGCTGTCACAGAGAAAAAGGCAAAATTAGGTATCATCTTAAATCTCTCAAATGAGGTTGTACGTGAAGTTTCTATAGAAACAACATCCAAGTGGGAAAAATTAAAAACCTTATATATGAAGAGGACTGTGGAAAATAGACTTTACCTAAAGCAGAAGCTTTATACAATTCGTATGGGTGAAGGTACCTCTATTCTCTCTCATCTTGATACTTGTGATTCCATTTTTATGGATTTGTGTAATATAGACGCAGAAATTACAGATGAGCATCAAGCCGTGATATTGTTTTGTTCTCTACCCCCATTTTTTAAGCATATAAGAGATACTATGCTTTATGCTAAGGATAATATCTCTTATAAGGATATTAAATCTATCTTAAAATCAAAAGAACAAATAGATAGTGATATTACTGGGGAAGCTAATAGAACTCAAGCGGAAGTTGGCTTGTTTATTAGGGGTAAATCTGACTCAACATCCAAATACAATAATTTAGAGTGTCGTAATTGTTATAAGAAAGGTCACATTATCTCCGAATGTTATAAGTTGAAAAATAAAGAAAAGCATAAAGAAAGGAAAAATGAGTACAAAGATACTTACACCGCCGAAGCTAGTATAGCAAATGATGAGATTGAGGCAATTATATTTTTAGCAACAGACAATGAGTAGATTTTAGATTCCGGTTGTTCGTATCATATGTGTCCCTACAAGGACTTGTTTTCTACATATGATTCAGTTGAAGGTGTAGTTGTCCAATTGGATAACAATGCTACCTGTAACGTTATTGACAAAGGTACAATTTAGATCATAATACATGATGGTGTGGTAAGAACTCTCACCGATATAAGATATGTTCCTGAGTTGAAGAAAAATCTCATCTCTTTGGGAACTTTAGAATCTCTTGGGTGCAAATTCACTAGTGAAGGTGGAGTTCTGAAATTTTTTCAAGGTGCTCTTGTGATCATGAAAGCATATAGATTTGATTCATTGTATATTTTATTGGGATCTACTGTTATAGGCACTACTACAGTTTCGGTATCAGACAACTTATCTGATTTTGATGGCATAAAATTTTGACATAAGCCCATTGGAGCTTTTTGGAGGTGGAGTAAAATAACTTTATCATCCAATTTAGGCCAAGGTGGAGATTTGTAAGACGTGGCCTAAATTTGTTCATGGCTAATCTTGGAGCCAAAGAATAAAAATATTTTCTTTTATTCTTTTTTCTTTACTTGGGCCCACCAAGAACTTTGCCCTATAAATGTGGGTCATCTTACTTCATTTGAATCATCCCATATTTAACTAGAAACTCATTTTGAGTATTCTTGTGATTGAGAGTTTTGTTATATTCCATAGAGTTAATGTTGGGAACACTTTAAGTGAACCTTTTCTTTGTGAGTGATTGTAGCGAGGTTATTCTCTTGGGATATATTTTGGGATAATTAGAGTTTTATCTCTAATTTTGTACTCTCTTTTGTGTATCGGTTGTTATAGTGAAATTGCTCCTCTCCGCTTGTGGACGTAGGTCACCTTGACGGAACCACGTTAAATTTGTGCCTTCTTTATATGCTTTAATTGTCATTATTATCAACTTGCATTGTCTTTGTTATTATCATTATCACATTGTTTGGCTAAATTATGCACTATCCGGATTCTTGATCCTAACAATTACTATGGATAATTAACTGAGATTTTTGAATTACGATTTCTAGGGAGAAGATGAATGATTTTGTTTCAGTGTGTGTAGTTTGACTTGTTTGACCGAAAAAGGGGTGTTAAAATAGATGAATATACTTTGTAACTGTTAGTCGCTTTCTTGAGATATTTTGAAGGAAGAAGTAGTTCTATCCAGAAAATTAAGATGAACTGCCTTTTTTACTTTTCGTTTTTTGTGTAAAGAAGAACTCTTACAAGGTGCAGTTTCCTTATCAGACATTATTGTATCCTTGTAAGAAGAACAAGGATGTAAACTTCCGCTTGTTTTGAACTTGTAAATATGGCTTCCAGCATATTCTTTTTGCTGAAGATTTGTAATACTGTTAACTTTCTAAAAAAAAGCCTTTTGTATTATATAAGTATTTTATATTAACGATCCTTCCAATAGTCTGGCATGTTGTATGAAAGGTTCAACCTCATGATCTGTTGACATTGTGCAGAACAAGGATGATGATTTAGAGGAGTCTGATAATTCTTCGCAAATGAAAAGAAAAAGAACTCATGAAGGTTTGAAGCTTTATCACACCTGCCTTTAATTTGTCAAACCCTTTACGATAATGAAAGTTCCATACTGGACTCCATCTGATTAGCAAGTTCAGTTGTAGGAAAGGGCATGTTGTCAAAAGCGAAAAGCGCAGAATAGCAATAAGGTTTATGGAGCTTGAAGCGAAAAGAGAGAAGTGAAGCACACGAAGTGAAGCCAAATTTTAAGGGAAACTAAAAGTATCAATCAATGAATTTATTTTATTGCAATTAAAATAACTAAGTTTAGCATCCAATGGAAAATAATGCCGACATTAATCAAACTCCTCAAAGTTGAGATTAGAAGAAGCGACTGATTCTCCTTGGCACTTTCTGCTCCATTGTTTGAAGCGCAAACTTCTTTAAAGCGCATGGCTTCACCTATGAAGCGATAACCGCTTGCTCTGTATCACTTCAGCGCTTCAAACGACGAATCAATGACTTTTAATAACACCGGGAAAGGGAAAGGTTTCTTTGAAATACTCCTTTTCAGCTTCAACTTGAAATATTCTTTTTTCAACTTCAACAAAATATTGTCCAAATGCCTACTAAAACTCCATCAGTGGATTGCTACTTGATAAGTGGAGGTTTTAGCGACTTGTCACTGTCTTTTGCTCTTGTTTTTGAGCCCAAAACTAACCATTTGATACCATATTTTATTGGAATTTGTCTGATTTCAGGTAGTGAAGCAGCTCAGTTGAAAAGAAGATGAAAAGGTCAAGAATGGAGCTAAAAAGTAGTACAAATCTTTCCATTTTCGAAGTCGATATATTTGCCAGGTTACCCACCTAAACTGGAAGTCTGTGAAAAGTGACCCATTGCGTGTGCAATGGACTGAGTGCGGGCAGCAATCAGAGTGCAAGAACAAATAAAATACTATCCCTGAAGCAAGACCAAGTGTGGACTGCAATGGAATTGTTCGGCCGCAGTGGTAGCCGCAATATACTCCACACTCCTGCAGCTTGGAAGGATCAGAGAATTGTCAATTATTGAAGTGTTGGAAGCCAGGGAAGTGTGGCCGCAACACCTGAAGTGCGGACCGCAATCTCTGAAGAGCAGCCTCAATGCACACTTGCAATTGAAAACCGCTTAAGACAGCCAGATGCAGTGCAGACTGCAATGCTCAAGTGCGGCCACACTGCATCGGCATTTCCGGCACTGATTTCCAGGACACTATAAATAGTATTTTTAGGTCTTTTTAGGGTATCTTTTGCCTTGGGACTTGGAATGAAGCAGCCTTTGTGTATTTGGGGTTATTTTCTAGGAAGATCATCATTAACAATATATTTTGCAATTAGTAGTTTAATTATATTTAGTTCTTCTATATTTTGTGTTTTTATCTCTTTAGTTATAAGTAGCTAGACTTATACCTAGGGTTGTATTTCAACCCTAGTATGTAAAACATTATCGGTTTTTAATATTGAGCTTGTTTATGAGTGGATTACTTATTATGTAGCTATTTTTATGCTTATTAGTGGTTGCAAATAATGATTCATGACCTTTGATTTGGTTCTTGCTTGAAAAAGAGGAATTAGGTTTGGGTAACTTGGACAACAAGGAATTAGACTAATTGACAGGCCTAGTTAATGAGAGGAATGAGAGTGAACTAAAGATATGAATATCATGACTTGGACACCACAATGCCTAATCTTAATGCAATCCTATTGACTTGAGAGAGCAATTTGGGTTAGACTACTTGGCAATTGAAAAACATCAAGTGGGTAAATTAGAGTGTGTGCCATAATAATCCCGATCAATTAAGCAAGATTGATAGATATACCTATTTAATTGAACACCATGGTAAAGAATACCACCCTAGGCTTTTCTCTAATACGTACAACCATAGCTTAAATGGAGTACATATTAGGTGTTTGATACTTTGTCTCTTAGATAACTCTTAGCATAATCATTAGATTTAATTGCTCCAAACATTGTTGAAAGCTAAATTAGGATATATTGAGTCTCTCATTTAGGTATTTACCTTACCATCATTTCAAATTCCTTGTGGTTCGACCACGGGGCTTAATTGGGTAATTATATTGCGACGATCGTATCATATCTCTTATTGAGGTGTGTTGTGGACTTTATCACTTCTTAACTGATTACATGTTCATATATGATGAAATTGACGTGCTAAGTACCTGTCATTTCTCTATTTTTATGTGTCTTTCATGTTTCTGTCAATCATCTTCTATCCTGTTGTCTTGCCTGCCAACCTCTTAGTTTCCCTTCAAGACCTTCACATAGAGATGATTCATCTGAAGAAGCATCTTCCAAGATCAAAGCTCATTTAAATTTAAAACTTGTTTACATATTGTATCTTCCAAGTTCATTTCGTGGTAATATGTTTAGGTCGTAGTGTGCTCTCATGTCTCAGAATTAGTCAAAGTGATAGTTGGTTCTTTTCTTATTGAAAACTTGCTGAACTCTCTTGTTGGTCGAGCTTAAAAATACTCTGCTCTTTCTATTTTTTGGTTATTAGGTTGAAATGAATCCTTCAAATTCCGGCAGTCTGAAATGTGATCAAGTTCGAAGACTATTAAACATGTGTACATTGCACCTGATGCTTTAGCAAGGGGACGTGAGGCAAAGCTTCAGAGCTTTAGGCTCCTTAAGGTAAGTGTTGAACAAAGAACTACACTTGGCAAAGGTAAAAATTGTAATGCAGCAGTTTCTACTCAGAATGAGCTAGTACAGTATAATAGCATTGTGCCTCCTAGTTTTGATCCAATGGAAGACGATTTTCCCCTCCTTCAAGAAGCTGAAGTGATGCAAGACACTCAGAGAAGTGAAATAAGTATTTTGTTGTCTCAAGTTGTAATTTTTTTTTTAATGTTAGTGGACTAGAATTTTTTTAATGTTTGACTTAAATTAAAATTTGCAGGTCCATGTGAATCTGAAAAGGCAAAAAAGATGAGAGGAAAGACCAGGTGTAAAAATGTCTTAGCACTCAAAGCTGGAGAGAAGTTGAGAGTTACTTTTTACCATAATGGAGTTGTTGGGAAGCATCATGCCACATTTGCAAGACACTTAGGTATGTTAGATCATGATCCTAATATGTGCCCGCTGCGAGTACACCCATGGGCGGACATCAAAGAAGATAAGCTGGAATGCATGTGGCTAGCTGTTACTGTAAGGATTTAAAGCATTTCTTGATTTGTTTTTCGAGCTTGATGCATGTCAACTAACTTGTATGGGATATATTTGCCTGCCACTGCATTAAGCTTGATGTGTTTGTACAACACTCCATTATTTTGAAACTTTTTTGGTTTTGTTGCTGGTTGCCAGCATGGATGATTCTTGGTTATTTGCTCTTTTCTGGATTCGTGATGTTTGGTTCATTTCTGGTGTCCCAAATACGTTTGACATGCATTAAATCCACAAAGTTGAGAACATGTAATGACATTCTTTTCCTCTGGTCAAAAGAGGTCAATGAAGCTGATTATGAAAAAGCTGCAACAGTATGAACAGGCCTCGGGTCAGAAAATTAGCAAGGACAAAAGTTTCTTCTCACCCCTACTCACACCTCTCAATCTATAAGGGACGGAATTCAGAGAGTGACGGGTTACGAGCACCATCACTTCCCTTTCAAATATCTTGGTTGTCCTATATATTGTGGAAGGAAGAAGCTCAGTTTCTTTGCAGATATGGCTACTAGACTTCTGCACAAAATTCAGGGATGGCAGGGTAGGCTATTATCGGTAGGAGGAAGGGCTACACTGATTAAACATGTATTACAGTCCCAGTATTTGCATATAATGGCTGCAGTTTCTCCTCCAAAAGCTATTCTAAAACAATTGGAGAAGCAATTTGCAGATTTCTTTTGGGGGTATAACGACTCCAAAAAAAAAAAAGTATCATTGGAGCACTTGGAACAAGCTGTATTTCTCAACTGCAGAGGGAGGTGCTGGTTTCAGAAGTTTGGAGGATATAGCCAAGACCTTTACTGCTAAAAGGTGGTGGAGGTTGAGAACTTACGATAATCTATGGTCCAAATTCATGATCAATAAATATTGCCCGAGAAGTCATCCAGTAACCAAGAAAAAACAATCTGCTGATTCTAGTTGTTGGAGGGAGCTGATGGAGATTAGAAACAAGGTGGAGCCTCATATCTTGTGGAGAGTCCAACAAGGATACCTCTCCTTTTGATGGGACAATTGGAGTGGCATGGGTCAATTAGCACAATTGCTGCATATTCAAACCCCTGACAATCTTTTGGTGGAAGATAGCATTACAGAAGGAGCATGGAATATTTATTTCCTTGAGTTATTGGTCCCTACCAATATGGTTCAGCACATCATAGAAATCAAAATTGGAAATACTCAAGGAAAGGATAAAGCAATATGGAGATTGTCTACTGATGGTCTTTTCTCTTGCTCAACTACCTATGATCTTTTAAGACAAAGAGGCAGACAACAGCAAATATGGAAGGACACTTGGATTAAGCACATCCCTTTCAAAATCTCATTCTCAATGTGGAGGGTCTGGAAGAAAAAAATTCACATGGAAGAATCAGACAACCTCAAATTTTTATATCAGGACTTTGTATCACATAGCACCAGCTTACATCTGCTGGGAAATCTGGAAAGGTAGACGTGGAGCGAGATATGGTAGAGAATATCCAACTATGGAGAGAATATGCAATGAAGTTCTCTTCCATCTAAAGATACACTTGAAGAAAGTTGGAGCACAAATTGATTTGAGATGGAACTGGTATACTCTTTCCAAGGAACTGGACGGAAGAAGACCTTTAACTATTACACCAGTCTCATGGGAGAAACATCTAAGTAGCTAGATTAAAGTTAATACAGATGGGAGCAGTAGTTCAAGAAATCAGACAGCAGGTATAGGAGGCATTGTAAGGGATAGAAATTGAGATTTAATTATGGCTTTTTCTAACAAGCTCCATTTCTGCACTAACAATCAAGCAGAGATGCAGGCTGCTTTATTTGCGGTTAACTGGTGCAATCAACAGGGATATTGTAACATCATTTTGGAGTTAGACTCACTATTGGTGGTAAATATGCTAACTGACAAGAATGGAATTCCTTGGGAATTGTCTCAATGGGTGGAGTAGATTAAGGATAGTTTGCAAATTCAGCAATACAAAATCCAACATTGCTATAGAGAAGCAAACTCTGTAGCAGATGTTCTTGCTAAAGCTGTGAGTAACATGCAAAATGGAAATGTTGTTTTTTCCTATAACTGGAAAGGCCTTCCAAAGGATGCTAGAGGTTGCTCAAGGATGGATCAAATCCAGATGCCTAATTTTAGGATCAGGAGACAAAGGAAAGGGAATTTCTTGTAAGGTTATATCTACGCTCACATGTAACTGGGAGCTGTTCTCCCAATTTTTTTGGAAATTTAACTTAACCTAATTGTCTTTGCACTAGGATCTCTCTCTTTGTTCTTGGAAATGTCACAGTACATGATGTGGATATAACATGTATATTTTTGAACAACATGTATAAAGTTAGGGATACCTAACTTACTTGATGTAGATGGATAGGTAAGGTTTTATGTCCCCCTTCTTCATGTGTTCTCATTTTGGATGCTAATATACAGGTTTAGGGCTATGCCTAAACCCCCACCGTGAAGGTGAGATTTAAATAAATAAATAAATAAAAAGTAATGACACCTGGAATTGCAGAAGAAAAATTACTAGAAAGAACCTCCATTAATGCAAATGCAACATGGAGAAAATGGTGACAATTCATAATATTAATTAGTCATTGAATTTTCCCACTTCAACAGACAGATTTCACTTCACCTTCCACTCTAAGCCAGACTCAACATCATTTGCTTCAACCAAGAATTCACAGATCAATTATGATTTGTGACTCAGTTAAGAGGCATATCAAAAAGCACCATTACATCAACCGATGCCCAAAATAGGAAGAAATGCAAATCTGATAAGGAAAAGTTGTAAAAAATTTATATGGACCAGCAACTAGTAACATCAAGAAGCACTTAATCAGTCACAAGTTTCAGGTTCATTTAGCATACTAGTTAGTTCTCCTAAATACGTTTAGGCTAACTAGAAGTAGCATCATGTCTTTAGTCCATTATGCGTTCTCTTTGATGCATTTGGCAGGAAGAAGCTAAAACAGAAGTACAGTAGAAAAATATAGATCCTCATCACCATCATAATCATGACAAGAAAAGTAACAGTCATCTTATTCTTCTTGTTTCTGATCGTATCTATGTTCCCTGTTTCCATTTCTGGTTTAAATCAAGAAGGGAATTCCTCATTGTCATGGCTCTCCACTTTTAATTCTTCCTCTTCTGCTACATCTTTCTCTCATGGAATCCAAGACATGAAAGTCCATGCAGATGGGATTATTTCCAATGCACCAGCAGTTGCTTTGTTTCAAATATCAATATCAGGTCCGTGAATTTCCAACTCAAATTCTTTCTTTTCTGTCCTCATTCTCAAAATAAAGAATGGCAAGTCCTCTCAAATTGTAACCTCACTGATGAAAGTTCCACTTTTATCGGAAACTTGTTCTCCCTGCGAAGTTTAAAGCTCAGTTTCAGTGCTCTGACAGGGAGCATTCCAGCTGAAACAGGAAGATTATCAAAACTGAAGCAACTTTCACTGAATTCCATTTTCTTTCAAGGTCAGTTACCAAATGAGGAAGTTGGTCAGAATTGCAGCAGCTTGAGTTCTGTTATAACCGTTTCTATATACTAATTTGATGTCGATTTCAGGTCAATTCTAACTGGAATACTAATTGCAATACTTTCCAGCTGCCTCTGCTTTTGCAGAAGAGAACTTGGACAATCCTGGCCTGGTGATGGACTACTTGTGTTTGATATAATTGTTGGTTACATTTTATTTTTCTAGTTTATTTGAAAATTTTGAGTTTCTTGTTTAATGATACTTGTGAAATATTTTTAGGACAAATTTGACCGTGATGACATGAAAGATCAAAGAAATGATGTTTTGAAACATATGAGAAAGTTATGGAACAATTGGAGGGCATTGCTGCACATGAACGTGAAATCTAAGCCATTGTACGATGCTCTACAAATATGCCAGAGGGGATAGACAAGAGTGATTGAAAATGGTTGGTCAGACAAGAGTGATTGAAAATGGTTGGTCAAGGAGCATTTTTTAAATGAAAAATTTAAGGTATGGCTTCATAACTATTTACTAACTGCTAGTTAGTTCAAGTGGCAGATTATAATTTCAATTTTGTGTTGAATATAGGAAGCAAGTACAAGAAACTCAGTCAATAGATCTAAGTCGAGTATGCCTCACCTTACGGGTAGTGAGCTATTCGAGAGATTTTTTATGAATTGGTAAGTAAATCTTACAATCCTATGAGGAGACCTCCCATTATTTTGGAAGATTTGTTTGACTTGTCTATTTGAATGTGAAGGGATGCAAAGATGGTAATCCACCAGACATGGCAACTATTTTCTTTGAGACTCGTAAGAAGGACAACAAGCTTGTCGAACCTAAAACCAACCAAAAATATGTATGTTTTATTGATAAATTTTATCTTACATCCTTTTATTTAATTTATAATTACATTATTCTAAATATTCCTGTATTTTATAGGCTGGAATCCAAAAACTGGTAAAATGCGAGTCGTCTGAGGCAGTGAAAAGGAGCTCCTCAATGTAAGAGACATGCGGTTGGATTTGGGGGTGGGATAACCGCTGAGGTGTTTAAAGGGGGTACTCCTCAAAGAAAATGAATCACTAAAAAGACGCATGGATGACAGAGAGTAAATATGAACGGCTTGCAGGTGCACTGTTTCACCGATGCCGTCTTCAAATGAACCAAATACATGCATTTAACAGGTTAGTAAGTTTTCTACTAGTCCTTTACAATTACCACATGCAGCTAACCTTTATGTCTAACCAAACATAAAAAATATTAGAAAACATTTTCAATGGAAATATTTGCTAGTGAATGTAATCAGACCTTACTTATTTGTCGTCTGCGAGAAGTGGATAAAGGTAAAGCATTATAAAACGGTCTAGCCATCTCATACCAATAAAGTAGAAATATAATTGCTTAACTAATACAAAGGAGTGTAGTGTATCTCTACTGAGACACTAAAAGAAACCACTCCACATATGATCCTGCTCCCTTTAATGGTTGAACACTGAGGAATAATTTAACTGGAATTAGAGGCGCACTCAAACTGATGTTATATTTTTCCTAATTGTTGATGTAATACAGTAACCTGTGACCAGGAACTTAATCCTGAGCATCTCTGCCTTGTTGAATTGTTAGGTTTTCAAGTTTTATCTAAACACTGTTACATATGCAGCAAGAAACACTTCTTTTTGTTCGATGAGCAAATAGAAACATCATTTGCTCCCAGTGCTAGGTTATTCTTCTGTTTGTTGATATCTATTCATAATAGATTTTGTGATATTTTTACTCTTGGATTTAGTGATATATTGTTGTATAAGAAGCGCTGGCAGTTCATAGTGTCGTGAGATCTTCTTCATTTCTTTGTTTACATCCTACAGTTCATATTGTTATAAGATTGTACCAATCTTAAATATTCATTTATTTTCTGAACAAATGGAGCTAGTATGTAGGAGTTTTCTTACTAAACTAACACGGACTTAGCTTGTTTCTTTTCACTGATCTAGAATTTGAAATCTGATGAATCTTCCTTGAGAATAGCGCAGAGCAAGTTGAAGCTGCTGAAAAAGTTGAAGTACCAGAGCAACTTTCTCTTGCCTGGGGGTTGTTTAAAGAAGTAGCCTTTGTACCAGAGCTACAATTCTATTCTTTTTTTTTTAAAAGTTGGAAAAGATTAAAATGTAATGCTTTAGCTCTTTGTAATTAGCATGATGTTATGTGAATGTTGAGGTGTGTGTATATGTGTCAAAGTATGAATCTTTATCTAATCATATTTATTAAATTTTCGGAAATTTGGCTGTTCAAAATATTGTTATTGAAAGAAAAATACCACAACAAAATGAATTTTAATTTGGTCCTAAAAGCACTTAGAACATCTAATTTGTTGTCGTTATTGAAGTTTTCGGAAAATTGGTCGCTACAAGGAGGTACAAAGACCGGATTGGCATTATTGAAGGTTTTAACGGCACAAAAGACAATTAGGAAAAATTTGGTGGCTAAAAGGAGGTATAATGATTGATTTCTTGCCGTTGTTGAAGGTTTTTCAATTACATGATTGAATTTACGGGGTTTTTAGCGAGCGGAAGGATCAAATTATTTTGGGTCGTAAATGACTAATAATAATAGGACTTTTAGCAACTGAATTTTTCGTGATTGAAGGCTTACAGCTCGTCAAACTGTTATAATAATCTTTCATCCATCCAAAACAAACATCATAAGGAATGTAACTTTGCTTATTTCTTATTTTCTTCATTTCTTCGTTATCTTTTCATCTTTGTATTAGAGTTGTTACTTTTCATGGTGATTGCTTGTCTTATTTTTCATATTTCAGCTCTTTTTATGTGTTAATCATCATACGATATTGCTTGACATCCAATGTAACACCTTTGTTTTTTAAGCCAATTCTTCTTATCAAGCTAAAAGGATTGTATCTCAAACATTAACAGAAAATAATTGTTGCAACCTTAACAAATATAAGAAATCACATTACAAGGAAAAGTCGACAACAACGCTGATGTTGAACTCATCAACACCATAAATAAAACACATTAAAACAATGGGAACAAAAGAAGATGAAAGGAAAGAGATAGAAAGACAACACCAAAGATGAACGATAAATTTCCTAGTCACACCCCTCGTAGGAAGACTAAAGCCTCTTAGATTAGTTGCTGAATGAATACTGTTCATACCTCATTGAGCAATCAACAAATTTGACTTGACCTCCAAGAAAGATTTTGCACAACTTAAACAAAGGGCACAATCTGAAAATTCTAAAATTGGGTTGCAAGTAGCATGACCATAAGCTAAGGCATCGTTAGGATAAGGAGAGATTGAATAGTAAGTATAACCTTGATTGGGAGTCACGCTTCAAGAACATATATAAGCCAAGCTTAGAGCAAAAGGACCATTCTTATCATACACATTACCGTACCATTGCATATCTGGTCCTCTACATTGGTATTTGGTAAACTAAACCCAAACATTATAAGAAATGTGGTTAGCACACTCATTCTCAAGATAGAATTAACATAATTCATAGATACCCTCTTATTATATTTTCGTATCCTCCTATCTTCTACTATTTCTGTTGTGTTACAAATTTGAGTTATGTTTCACATGTTCTTGTTTGTTTAAATAGATTTAGCCATCCATTGATCTCTCCATCAATGAAATTAAATATTCCATGATTTTGGTCTAACAGGCTTGTCTTAGTACCAGATAACATGCAGTGTTATGTTTTTTGTTTTATACGTTGCCGCCAAAGAAGTACGTCGTACATCGTCCATTTTGGCATGGTCTTGCTTATATCTTAGTGAATGTTGGT